CCCCAAAACCCCAAAACCCCAAAACCCCGTAAGGAGTAACTCTTATTGAATTTATTATTATTATCATATTTTGGTGAAAACTTTGCCTATTCTCTTTTTTGTTGCGTAAGATTAACGAAGTCAGGCTAATTTAATGGGTATCCCAGCAATAAATATTGCCTGCGAAGTTAGCAAACTGAAGGAATTTATTAATGGACATAATAAGAGAGTCTTAAGAAGAACTCTAACAAAAAGTCATTTCTGAATTCGAAATTTTTGGGATAAAAAAAACGTTTGTGGATAATAAAATTTTCATTTAACCAAGCCCATATTTTGAAAAAGAAGATGGAGATTTGTGAAATGTTTGAAATTTATTTCTTCCATAAATTAAATATGCGGCATCTTAATTACTCTTCATACCTCAACACATTAACTGTGTTGCCAAATTTCCAAGGACCATCTTCTTACATATCTTCAGTAATAATCTAAAGAGAATAGGCAGTTGAAGTGATCAGTTCATTTCCGAGCTTGCCCTTCATGTATAAATATCTGTTTTAACTTATTATTTCAGACGAGATTTGAGATATCCACTTGCTGGGCTTTCAGTATTAATATTTCTGGAATGTTCTATCAACAATACAGGCATGTTATTGATTCTTAGATAGCTTTGCAGCTTCACCTTCAAGGTCTAGCTCCTCAAATATGAGCTAGAAGGTCTGGTATAGATAACATGCTTCTAGTGATAAGAATCTTGCTTTTGAAATTTCATTAGGATACAGTTACATTATTATTTATTTGTTTTATTTTATTCGAAAAGTCTTCGTAAGGAAATTGTTCGCGTGTAAAACTCAAATTATTTTTGATGTTTCAATGTGTTTATAAGCTCAAATTGATTCTTTGAGGTTTTAGAACTTAAAGGATATTAGTAGCTGATAATTTTCCCTGCAACTATAAAATAAATTTCTTTTTCTTGAGTCCCAAAATGGCATATACTTTAAATCAGGATGACCAATTTCTAGATTTGCAACGCTAGAAACCTCTTCTACTCTAGATCTCTAATTATACTACTTTTAAATGAAAGATCTCGACTATTTGGTTAGAACTTTGCCTCTATTTTGAAAATTCTAAATTTTTGAATAATAAACCTTATTCTTGAAATATGAAAGGATAAATATGAGCGATGTAGGTTTCATTAAGTATAGCTATTTCTCATGCTCTCAAGAGTAAACTTTGAGCCCTATAAATTACAGTGTAAAATAGGTCATAGAGCTTCAGGCTAAAGCCACGTTTTAGCATTCCAAAATACTCTAGCTTAAATAGAGGCTACTAGATTTTCAAAATTTGTTGGCTAAATTTTATTTCCACAAGGGACTCTCTGTTTTATTAAAAACCATGTGAATTTACTCAAGAAATAAACTGAATTTATGGGGGAAATTTCTGATTCGTCCTATCCTGTAAAGAGTTATACAGAAAAAAGTGTATGAAAACTCAATAATTACTCATCCGGGTTTTCATGATAACATAAGCAGCTAGTTACTAAAAGTACTTCGAAATTTCAAGTGCTTCCATAATTTGTAACACAAAGACCTAACTGGCTTCAGACTGATTTCAGGAAAAATAAATTTCGATGGACCAGATGTTGTCACTCGGAATAATTCATAGAATGGTAAATTTTTTAAAATTTCTAAGACTTTCCAAAATAGATTTTAATCATTCTCCTATTTTGGAGTTCAGGAAAGAGTATTAGTAAAAAGTAGAGCAAAAGAGAGACTGACTATTATTATGTTTATTATCAGGATATTTCTCATAAGTCTCCATGCTTTGGAAGCCAGAATTGGCTGATAACACAGGGCACAAAATTGTTCATAATTTTAGGCTTACTATTAATAGTAATCTCAGAATTGGACTTTTTCTAACTCTACCAAAATATGAGATTATTAAGTTATAAGCGTTTATTGTTAAGGTTATTTTGCTTCTATGTGTAGCTCCACAATTAGAGAGTGTTTAGAACCCATGAAGCTTATGGCTAATCTTCATACTCTCTTTTATTCCAATAACTTAGGTTTTGGCTACCTTAGTTTTCACAAAAATTAGGAATGATCAAGCCAGGAGGATGATACAAGAAATGACTTCAATTGCTTGGCTTCTAGGAAGGTATTAACTCTTAAAACAAATCTAAAAAGTTGTGAAATCACAAAAACCTGAGAATGTCTGAAAATTAAGTTATTTGTCAGAGACTTCTTCAGGTATCATAAAGCCATCACACAGTTCTTCAATTACTCACATTAATTTGAAGTGAAGAATCTAGTATTTAGCTGAGTCTACCTAGTTTATTGTAAGAGCATGGTAATTAATAAATTATCCAGGATGACTTAAATATTGTCTACAATATTTCTTCTGCTGGTATGTATAAAAATTTATTACACAGTTGATATATTAATAAATTTCATAAAACGGTGATTTCTTATTTGGCATTCATTGATTGGAGGGTCAGGAGTCGTCAGAGATGAGATACGTCCTAGATTACTATTTAGCTATGAGTCTTTGCCAATATTTTATTAGAATTAGCCTCTCAAGAGTTAAATCATGAATAAAGTATGAATAAAGTTCTCATATTCCAAATTATATAGTAAATATTTTTATCTAAATTCACCTTATGTTGAGCCATCAAGAGTTATGAAAAATAGGTACTTTTTAAAAATAAAAACAGGGACAAGCATGAATTTAGGTACTATTTGGTTACTTCTAAGCCCTCTTGGCTCCTCTATATTAACCTGCGCCTATCCCTAACATAATAATTCTTAAAGTTGGTTATTAGGTTAATTAGAGACTTCATTTTCCAATTTGTGTAAAATTTTATGAACCCTGTCGAGTTTTAGATGATGTCAAGCCTCCCAATAGATATATATTTCCAACATTATATTAAGAGACAAATTATTAATAGATAGAAGGGGACACCTTCTTGTCTGGTTCCCATTAGCTGTTATCAAGTCTTGGAAGCGTGGCATTAATACCTCTTAAGTCTAAGTTCTTTATTGCTCGATTCATCCTAAAAAAGTGTTGAGAAATAAATTCAGAATTGGAAGAAGGTTCAGGATTATCGTACCTTGAAATGACATGGACTTTGTTCCGAAGCTTATTTGGAGAGATCAACCTTCCATTTTGAGATTTCATTGATTTTATCTTATTTCTGATAAACTTGCTCATATTCACATGCAGCTGCTTCAATGTTGGGGAAAGAAATCTGGTATTCCTAATTTCCTTCAAACGATCTTCATTTGAAAGTACCAATCTTCTCCTCCTATACTTAAATTTTATGGGTGGAGAGATTTTCTGAGGTGTGAATGTTCTCTCTCTATCCATGCTTAGACACTCTCTTTTTCTTGGCATTAATTCTTCTCGACTGCATTGCTATAGCTGAGTTAATGATTGCTCGAAATACAGTAATTTGGGAATACCAAAAATCGGTTTACAACTATTGTAAGTTCCTTTCACAATTTTTGCAGCTTATAACTCACCTTATAATAGTCCACTCTTCTGACTAGTTTGACCTTATCAGATATTGGAATTGGAGTTCTCTTAGATGGGGAACATAAGGTAAGATCTTGAATAGGAGAGTTAACACTCCTTTTGTCTTTGAAAGAGTTTAACCTGAAAGTTTTATTAATCATATTTATTAATTAATGTTTCAGTGCTCACCTATTTATCTGGGGTTTTGGGGTTTTGGGGTTTTGGGGTTTTGGGG